AAAACAATTGAAATTGTTCAGCTTAATAGATGTAGGTAATGACGTAGTTAAGCTAAAAAAATTAGTTCATTTTGACACAAAATCACTTCTGCCAGCACAGGACATGTTTCATTATGTTCCATGAACTGTGAAGTTCTTATTGCAAGTAACCAAGCTAAGCCAGCTAAGAGAGGTTTGTGAATGTGAGAAGTCCTCTCTCACACCTGGAGTGGAAATTGAGAACATTCCATGAAAGATTGCAGAATCCATTTCAGGCCTTGGAAGGACTTCCACCCGCCTCACAGAGCAACAGCTACCAACACCAAATGAAAGCACAGGAAGAAAAAGAAGCAAAGTAGCTGCTGCTGTCCCACCTTCATTGATTGATTTATCTGACAAGTGCTGCGTGTTACTTTATTCCAGGCCCTTTGCTAGTTCTTGGTGATAAATGATGAACGGAACCCAGGCTCTGCCCTTATGGAATCCAGCAGGAAAGAGAGTTCAGCAGAGATAGTTGTAACACAGCTGGAGGGGGAATTCCTAGGGAGGAACTGGGGTCAGAGAAGGCTTCCTCAGACTTCAGAGCAAGGAGGATTTAGCAGGTGGGAGTAGGAGGACAGCATTTCAGACCAAGAGTAGAGCATAAGCAAAGGTTTGTGATTGGGAGAAACAGGGAAAATCTGTCATTCACGTGGCTGAGAGATGGAGTGCAGGGAATTCCGAGCCCCCAAGAGAGAACCCCAAGACACCAGCAGAGGTAGAAGCTCACAGGAATCTCCACAGTACGTAAACACCTCCCCATGAAATAATAAAAATGAGGCCTTAGTTGCAGAAAAGGATTGAGTATCCAGCTGTTATCTGGATAGAGACTTAGCAATTTAAAAAGTCATTTTCAAAGCAAGTGAATTTTACAACTTTTAAAGGCCATATGCCTACAGCATTAGAAATCATATGTTTTGGATTTTTGCTTATAGAAGTGTGACAGGTGGCTTTCCTTTCACACATTCTAAGGCATTTTCAGGTTTAGAAAACTGGAATGCATAATTGAACAAAAGTCCTGTAAATAAACATTTATTTTTCTGTGTCTTTGCAGAAACTAAAAATTCCTCTCTTTAAAATGTTACCGCAACATGATTTATCTTTCTGCAAAGAGATACCTAGATCACTTGAGTGATCTTTTTATTTTTGAGCGATATTTTGTTTCTGATACAGCCTAGTCTCATTTGTTTTAATAACGTATTTTTTTCTTACTGTATACATAGGTTTGTCTAATTACATCCTGGGTACTCTTGAAGTACTTTGAGCAGAAAGAGCAGATGTCAATGTTTCCCAGCTTTCTGTAAATTCTTTTAACATACATAATCCCCCACTCAATTGTAATTTTTTTCTAATTAAGAAATATTTGTTGGATGCATCTTTTCTACGTTAAACTATGTGTGCCTCATATATGGACTCTGGACTCCTTAGAATACTGTTTATAGTATTGGTGGTTAACCCATCACTTCCCACACTCCAGACATCCTAATGATGGTCAGTTTGTCAGGAAAGCAGGAGCCAAGGAGGGACAGTGTAATGCCTTTTTGGTTCAGTTCCATTCTGAGACTAGCAAAGCACATGCCTTGCCGGTCATGACCCATATTCATGGGATGTTTGTATTACAGGAAACAGCCTAAAGGTACCTACAAGGGCACACTCCTACAACAGCAGAGAGTCCAGATGTCCCAATACCCATAACGATATATGTTTTGAAGATAATAATAGCTATGCTTGGATGTACTCACACACTAGATGGTCAAGGCTAGTTTTCTTTAAATCACTACAGCAATAAATTTGTCATGATGCCTGCTCACCTGCACGTAGATACAGCTTAGCTTAGTCTTTGCATAGACAAGACCTCTATATAACGAAAACTTAAAACAAAGCCTGTTGGTTTTTCCTCTTGCTTTCCAAGGGTGCCCTACTCTATAATAAAATAACTTTTAATAAACCCGCTTTTTTCACTGCACTTTGTGAATCACCCTGAATTCCTTCCTTCATGAGATCCAAGAATCTTCCTTGGATCTGACAAATCCAGTAACAAATCTATTCCAAAACCTGCCGTGCTCTCTTAAATCTTTTTTTTTTTGGCCGGGGGCGGGGGGAGATTTGGTCAGAACATTGTAATTTCTGTGGACTTTTATTTGTTCTTCTAGCCAGTTTCAGGAGTTCCCAGATTCTCAAAGTAGCAAGGCAACAGGAAGCTTGCATTTAACCACATCTATACATTGCATTCAATTTTTAAAACACACACAGGGTGTTACAGTTCTGTGATGCCTTTAATTGTTCCTTATAGTCACACAACTGAAACTTAGTGTAGAGTAAAATGAGCTCATTGTTCATAAAACAGCTCAAAAACTGAGTGAACATGGTGCTCTCACTTAAAATGGAATGCTCTATTTTATTTATTTTTTGTCATCTTTATTGAGGTGTGATTTAGATACAACAAAAAGGAAAAATTTTAAGTGTGTGCTGGCAAGAGCATCGTCATTGTCCATAAAAGTCATCCCAGGGTTCCTCCAACCCTACTCACTCATCTTTCTATCACAGTTGCTGAGTTCAGCTGCTCCACAACTTCACATAAATGGATGCACACTGTGGCATTTTTTTTTATTTCTGGCTTCCTTTGCTCAGTATGTTTTTGAGAGTCATCCATGTTGCGTGTTAGTCCTTTCTCATGGCTAAGTAGCTCTCAGTTATATGAATATGCCGCAATTTTTAAATTCATTTGCTTGTACCTGAACCATTAAGTTGTTTTTAATTTGGGGTTATGTACAAGTCTTGCCACGTACAAGGCTTTTTCTAGAAATATGTTTTATTTTTTCCAGTAAGTATCCATGTATGGAATTGCTTGGCCATAATTTTAAATTCACCAACAGCAGCATATGAGGTATGCAGTGGCTATGCATTTTCACTAAAAGCATTGTTAGCCTTTTAATTTTAGATATTATATTTGTTATAAACTGGTATCTCATTCATTATGGTTTTAATTTGCAGTTTTCTGATCACCAATGATGTTGAACGTCTTCTAATATATTTGTTGACCATTCTCTTGTGAAGTAGTACCTACTTAAGTCCTTTCGACTCGTTTGTCTTATTAATTCTTATTGTAAAAATCATTTGTATATGCTAGATAAATATATATTTTTCCTCCGTGTCTGCGGTTTCTAATTTTATTTCCTTAATGCTGTCTTTAGAAGGGCAGATGGTTTTACTTTTTATGATGTTTAGTTTATCCTTTCTAAAAAAATGTATGTTTTATGCTTTTTGTGTTCCATCTATGTTTTAAGAAGTATTATAATTTTAGCTGTCACAATAAGGTCTCTCTAATCCACTTCAAATAAATTTCATAGTGTGAGATAGAGGTTGCTTTTCTTTTTCATACAAGTATTAAGACACCCTTTGTTGAATAATTTATCTTTTTCCATTGAAATGTATTTGTGTCATTGTAAAAAATTCATTGACCATATTTGTATGGGTCTATTTCCGACTCTTTTTTTTTTGTCTGTTCCACAGATCTATATGTTTAAATTTACACCAACTCTGACATATCTTGGCTATTGTTGCTTTATAGTAAGTTTGGAAATAATATGGTGTAACTCTTTCAACTTCATTTTTCAAAATTATTTTTGCTTTTCTAGATTCTTTGATATCCACTTACATTTTAGAATGAGCTTATTAGTTTCTGTGGCAGAAATATCTGTCAGGATATGGATTAAAATGCATTTACTCTATAAATAAATTTGGTAAGAATTGACATCTTATTGATACCATTGACATACTGTATATTTGTATTTGGATTGTCCTTTGTTTCCCTCAACATTATATTTTTCATCATAGATGTTCTCCATAATTTTGTTAATTATATTTATTGGTATTTTATGGCATTTATGCCATTTAAAATTATATTTTCTAATTGTTTGAATATATTTAGAATTCTAATTTATTTTTCAAAGCCACCTAAATCCTTGCTAAACTTATTAATTAATTTTAGCACATCAATTTTTGATTACTTAGGATTTTATATAGGAACAACTATATAATCTATAAAAAGAGGCTATTTTAGTTCTTCATTTTAAATCTTTCTTATTTGTCTTGCTTTCTTGCACTGGCTAGGATCTCCAGTAAAGTATTGGCTACAAGTATGTAGAGCAGACTTACTTTCCTTTTTTCTTTTTTTGATCTTAGAAGAAAGGCATTTAGTCATTCACATTAAGTATTTTGTCAGCTATAGTTTTTTTTGTTTTTTTTTTTTAACATGTCCTTAATCAGGTTAAGACAGTTTCATTGTGTTTTTGAGAGTTTTTCATGGATAGATGCATTATTTAGTCAAATGCACTTTTTGCATCTATATGGTGATTATATATTTTCTTCTTATTCTGTTCTGTGGTGAATTACATTGATTGATTTTTGACTATTGAACCAGCTTTGCATTCCCAGGATAAAACCTACTTGCTTGTGGTGTATTTTACTTTAAAATATTGTTTTATTTAATATCTTAATATTTTGATAATGTTTTTATATTATTTCAATCTTCAAGTATATTCTTTTGATATCTTGTGTCAGGTTTTGGTATCAAGGTTATTTGCTCCTATGAAATGAGTTAGGGAACATTTTGTCCTCTTTTATGTTTTTTTTAAAAAAGCTTCTGGAATTGTTATTATTTCTACATAAAATATGTTATGAATTTAATAATGAACCCAGCTTATCCTGGTGTTTCCCTTGTCAAAGACTTTATTGTCAATTCTATTTTATAGTAAGAATAGTTGCGTAAGAATAGCTGTTTTTATACTATATTTATATTATACAGTATAAATACAGAGAGAATAGCTGACTTTAGCTATGTTTATAAATATAGCTATTCTTATACAGCTATTTTCTCTCTTTCTCTGAATAATCTTACTAGAGTTCTGACAATTTAATCTCAAAGAAACTATTTCTGCTTTGTTAATTTGTCATTGTTTTTGTTTTATTTCATTAAGTTTCAGAAAACCTTTCTTTTTCTACATGTTGCTATTTAAAATAATGGATTTCCTTGTGAGAAATACTTCAGGTGAGTATCACAAGTACTACTCTACTGTGTTTTCACCTTTATTCAGTTCAAAATACATCCTAATTTCTCTTGTGATTTTCTATTTGAAGCATGGATGATTTTGAAATGTGCTATTTTATTTCTAAGTAAATGGAATTCCTCTAGAGTTCTTATTGTGTTTGATTTAAATTGAAAAGAACATGCCAATCCCAGTTACTGGAGGCTATCTTTTCTTTTTTTTTCTTTTTTTTCTTTTGTTTTACAATACAAAACTCATTTATTAATGCACCCCAAAATATCACTAGATTACATTTGTTGTTTTATTTATTTATTTATTTATTTAAATTTATTTATTATTATTATACTTTAAGTTGTAGGGTACATGTGCATAACGTGCAGGTTTGTTACATATGTATACTTGTGCCATGTTGGTGTGCTGCACCCATCAACTCGTCATTTACATCAGGTATAACTCCCAATGCAATCCCTCCCCCCGCCCCCCTCCCCATGATAGGCCCCGGTGTAGGAAGGGGAACATCACACACCGAGGCTATCTTTTCTAGTAAGACTTCTACAACTTTCCAATATATTTTTCCTTTTTTCATAGAATGTTTGGAAATGTGTTGTTACATGGCCAAATATTTAGGGGTTTCCTAGAAATATTACTAGTTTCTATAGAAAAATCTTGTTGATCAAACTAAACAGGATCATCTCATTATGGCATTTCATAGCCTCTAGAGCAAAATACATATATTGAAATATAGAAGATATTTTACTCTTAAAGAATTCTATTATATGTATAAGAGCTGCTGGTTGTTGTTTTTTTTTTTTTTGAGACAGATTCTCTCTCTGTCGCCAAGCTGGAGTGCAGTGGCGTGATCAGTCTCAACTCACTGCAACCTCCACCCTCTCAAGTTCAAGCAATTCTCGTGCCTCAGCCTCCCGAGTAGCTGGGATTAAAGGCACCTGCCACTACACCCAGCTAATCTTTGTATTTTTAGTAGAGACAGGGTTTCGCCCTATTGGCCAGGCTGGTCTCGAACCTCAAGTGATCTTCCCACCTTGGCCTCCCAAAGTGCTGGGATTTCGGGCGTGAGCCACCCTGCCCCGCCCAAGACCTGCTGTTAACACCAGAGATCTAGGATACCTTGGGTCTATTTTCAAAGGTCCAAGTTTTGGCTACGGCATCCTCTATTGCAAAAACACTGGGTGTAAGGTAGTACAAAAAAGGTTTGGTTAACAAAATATAAATAAAATATAATAAAATAAAATATAATCCACCATTTCTGAAATGGCTGCTCAATACCTTCTGAAGTCTTTCTTGAACCACAGGAGACCACAGGGCTCCTTGTTCACTCTGACATCTTCACAGCAACAGTGCTCAGTTTGGAGACTGAACTGTGGGAGGCACAGTAAATAGAGCACAGTTGACTGTGGGCTGAGCTTCCTCACTGTTGAGATGACTGTGCTAGTCTCCAGGGCACAGACGCATTCACTGTCCCAGGAATAAGCTCTTAAGATGGGCCATGCTGCCTCCTACCTGCCTTCACTGCCCTCAATAGATGCCACCCTACCGACTCTTCTCAGCATTTTTATCATCCTAGACACATCTATTATGGCATGTACTGCATTATTTTCCTGCGCATTTTACTAATTTTTGCTTTTCTGGATTATGATAGTGACTCAAAGTATAAATTGAATTTATTTATTTAATAAGAGTAGAAGAACTGTGAATAGGATATGGACATTATTAACATTAATGAAATGGGCAGAGAAGAAGATAGTAAATAAAAATTTGAACATTTTTCCAAGACATACAATAAGTAAGAGTTATTATGTAGAGAAGAGAGTGTCATTAAATACTCAACATTGTCAAATGAGTCAGAGAAATCAATTGTATGAAGAGTGACACATGACTTTTTTTACTTGGCAATTAGAAGATCATGGATTAATTTTCCATGTACATATTCATATTCAATAAAATACAAAGCACAGAAGCTGATGTATAAAGCATTAAGCTATATAAGACAGTAAATAACAGAACTGATTAGAAAAAATATGACACATACTTAAGATGAAAAATTATAAATCCATTAAACTGAGAATTGTGACAAATTTGCTGAAAAATCAATTTAAACGTTGTTCAATGGCTGCTATGTATCTTGAAAGTGGTATAGTGTATTCTTGCTATTTTACTTTATACATTTTTCATGTTTTTCAAAACACCATTCTTGTTAATGTATTAAGTTCTGAACGTCATTTCTTCTTTGTTACATCTCTTAATGATAAAGATAATTTTGGCATATTAGTAAACACTGGAAGTGTGTTAAGACTTATATTAGATAAGTATAACTTACGTTTTTCTCCAAAACAATTTTGGTCTGTACCATATTTGTACATAGACATTATTTTTCATTCTCCTCTTATTTATTTATGGCCAAATATTCTCTACTATTTTTAATTACTGGTGACTCAGGAAAGGATAATTTCTAGGCTTATGCCCCCAAAACAGATGCCTATGTTAAAAGAGCTATTTTACTTTGATCAGAAGGTCAGCATTACCTGCTGAAGATGAAATTTATTCCACCTTTTGTAGAAGTTTGATCACATTATCATAACTCAATGACAAATACCACAGTATGATTATTTGTACTTGAAATTATAAACGTGTAAATCCTTACAGTATTCTATAATTGAAACACTATTCAAAATAATTTTCCATTTAAGTAATCTAAGTTGTGTGTTTTTATAGTAGATTCAAAAGTCTATGAAATTTTAACCATGCCCTCATGTCCCTGAGTATTAGAATGTCTAGTGCATTAGTATGTTAGTGTATTGGTATCCTTGTTGCTAATCCAGACTGCCCTTCCTTATTTTACTGTGTCATTGCTGTTCTATTTGCACAGTGCTGGTGCTACTTGGCATGTTGAGCGTTGACAAGAAAATGACACAAAGCAACTTGCCAGCCATAACTTTACACTTAGTTCCATATATATTTGGAGTTAGCCAATGGCATTTCAGCTAACACGTATTTTATAGGATGCCTTCGATCATAAGCCACTGCTTTTATTTTTTGTTTCTCTTGCCATGTTACATATATGGCTGATGACATTTTCCTCCTTGTGGTAGATAAAGAAAAAGTACATGAAAAATCATTTCCAGACTGTGGTCTCACAGTGGCTTGTGGAGCGAGCATATAAATAAGGTACTGTGGATAATAAGCATGCTGTTTTAGTATTTTTTAAATCTGCCTTTTAAAATGCATTTTAGAAGGAATATATTAAGCATACATCAAATTTATGTAAGTGCTGTTGGCAGAAACATTACATATTTCCCCCTTTCAAATTGAAATTTTGAAACATTAAAACATGGTATTTATGTCATAAAGTGAAATGTCTCTCTAACTCTATCCAAATATGTATATCTCAGGTTTTCTATATTTATATAAAAAATAGTGTTTCTCTTAACATTTTGCTAGTTTTCTCTCGTCATTAATTATATAAAAAGATCTAATTTAACATTTGCCAATGCTTTATTCACAAGTGTGCTTTGTTGAAGAAGTAGATGATTTAAATATTTTTATGATTTTATTTGGTCCAAACAGGTTTAGACCACCATTTACCCAAATAGATTTGCTTTTTAAAACTCAAATGCCAAAAAAATTATATTTTTAATATCAACATTTTGGAGGTTAGGGAAAGTTACTATTATATTGATATTGTTATAAATTGCAAAGTTTTCAGCAGTCATTTTGAAAACCAGGATTTATTCAGACAACAAGTAGTAAATTTATTTGAGATGATTATTTATATGTGTATAAATAATACACATTTTTTTATTGTAAAATAATACAATATTTTTTATTGTACAATATTTCATTGTTTTATAATACAATATTTTATTATTGTATTTTACAATAAATATATTGTGATATTTTAAAATATTATAAAATATTACAATATTTTATTATTTTATAATACAATATTTTATTATTGTAAAATAATAAAATAATGAATCTACTAATAATACACTTATATGTGTATAAATAATACACATAAAAGATCTCTATTTGTTAAAACCTGAGGTACTGATTCTTATGAAGATAAGAATCAATAACTCAGAAATAGCCAAATAACATTTGAAGGGAATTTTTGACCTGCCAGTGGGACCTCACATAATGTTAATTTTGGTTATATACTAAAATAATGACAGCAATGATAGCTAACATTTCATGAGTAATTATACCCACAAGGCACTGTAAGTTATGCCTTATATATATATATATATATATATAATCTCATTTAATCCTCACAACCAACTTATGAGGTAAATAATACTATTAACATTTGAAATAAGATAAAACTGAGGCTTTACAGATATTACAGATATCGTCCACTGTCATTCCACCAGGAAGTATCAGAAGGAATTCTCTAACTCCATAACCTGTGGTCTTAGTCACTGTCCTACACAGTTAATGGTAAACAGAGGGGTGGGGTTCCAAGACTATGGTACCTGCATGGATCCTAGAGGCTGGAAATAAATATATTTGCCTGGACAAAACTAACAACACGCCAGCCTGTAGTTGTTATTGTAATGCTTTTCAATTTCAAATCAGGATATGAGGTCTGACAGGTATGAGTAGCTAAGGGAGAAGGCTGGACAGAATTTCTGATACCCTGGCTGTCTTACACATTTTGGGAATAATGATTGTTGTAACTGTAGGTTAAATGTGCTGAATTACAACGAACCAGTCACAACATTGCCTTTTCCAAATCATTCATGAAAGGAGTGATGTTAGGTCAGATCGCACGCATTTCTTCAGGCCATTCCTAGAATATTGTCCTTATGAAATTCCAATGTTGTATTTAAGAATACATTAAAGAAAAAGAGAGAGCTACCAATAAACTGATGAAGGAGAACACATTTTGCTGGTGTTATCTGGACATTAAGCTAAACAGGATGCAGGCAATTGTATTTAAAGTAATAAGACATATACTTTTTGAAATCTAAGCAAAGGCTATATAAATATAATTACTTTCCCTAAACTACTTCTTTTCTTTCTAACTGTAGTAAGCAATTACCTCTCCAAATAATATTTACGGAATCCATTTCAATAAGAAACAAGGAAAAAAGTTGAAGATTAATTTTTTTAGCCATACTTAACCTCTCAGTCACATTTTAAAATATCTTCACTGTTCCAAAATGTGGCACATATGCACTTGGAAATAGAAACTGAAGTTTGACTTGTGAATACGGTCCATATATTAAAAAATAAAGTCAGAAAAGGCATTTATTGAGCTGTGTCATTAACTTATTGTGAAGTATAGAGTGTAGACAAATGACTGCTAATGGAGTTGTCTACCTGTTTAATGGGACTTCAGCTTGGTCTGAAAAGAATGATCAGTGTTTGAATGTTGAATTTTCACACAGGAGAGATGAATGCAGTGGCTTTCCAGGGGCTGTTAATATGTGGAGTGGAGAAGCAGTCTAGGAATGAACCTCTCACCAGAGAAGAGAGAACAAAGGTGTATAACTGTTCATCAACATCAGAGCTGGAAGTTTTTGGTAAGATATTACTTATTGGTTATCTTCCAGACCCATTTCCATTACCTATTGGCTTTGTATGAATGTCTGAATGATGCCACATGAGATGCTCAGAATTTTGGACTGAGAAACCTGCTGATCAGCCAGATACATCCAGCAATCACTGGATTTTCTAAATAATTTCTGTTGTTCACTCTTCATTTCACTACCTGGCAGTCTCAACAACCACCAACTCAAAGAGGAAGAAGATGTTCATTCTCATAATACCTTTGTCACTTCTCTAGGAAGCTGATCTTGAATATCCTCACCTGCACAGAATTAGATCATATGACCCACTTAACCACTTTTAAGGCCAGACAATCCCCCAAAAGAAGGGTCTGGGAACCATACTCTCCAGCTACTTCTGACTAGGGCAGTAAGACACACTAGCAGCTCAGTTTCACGTCAAGTGACGTGGGCGGCTTTCTTCTGAAGCTTGATTTCACGGTGTGCCAGAATGCCTGTGTGGAACTCTAGTTTCAGAAGCTAAGCTATCAAGTGGTACTTGGGAAAATCCCAGGTGTGATGAGATTCTAAATACCAGGGGCAGTGAACCATGTGGTAGAGCTGGATAGGGAAAATACTGTCATTCGCAGAGTGAGCACACAAACATTACCTTGAGTATATCTTCAGTCTCAGGGGCTTGCTTCCTCATGGTTTTTCTATAGTGTGTTTTGTTATAGAAATACCTGCACATGAACTAAACATGTGTTTAGGGAGGACTTCTGCTCTCTCCACTGCCCCGAGGGCATGTTGTTGGATGGGTGATCCCTAGTAAATCCTGCTGTGGAAGAATATTAGAACATATTTCATGGATACCGAAAGATAGTGATGCTCCCACAACATTATGTGAACACGTTCCTCATGGATAAGAAAGGGAATAGGGAAAGAACAAAGGATGGGGGGCAGGGGCCCTGAATGGAGGCTAAACTTTCAACTACTAAGGTTGAAATCCTGAATTCATCATTTACATAAGAACAAGTAACAGTTAAGTAAGAAATTATCAAGCTATCCTTTTGTTAGCAAGGTTCTTTACTGCTATCAAAAGATACAGATGCATGTAAGAAACTTGAGATTAAGGAGAAATAAGGTCACATTTTTGCAGATCTGAGTTAGAGCTCTGAATTTTGTTTCCCATTAAATATTGCATTTGACTGACTCTGTTCATGTGTGGGTGAAGTATCACATACTTCTGTATGCGTATTTATATTTTTTTGTTCTTTTTCAACTTCTGAAAATATTTCATTATGGCTTTTCAAATAATTCTCCAATATTTATTGTGAGCCTATTATGTACAGTAAAATACAATCATTAAGAAACTTACAGTTCAGTTGAGGGGTCAGAACTTACGTGTATATAATCATACTACAATGTAATATAAATGCTAAATTTGTGACATAGACTAATAATGCTGTAGTATTTTAGTTGAGAGTTAATTGCAAATTGCTTGGGATGTCTAGAATAAAAAAATCTTGGAGCTGATGGGATGCACGGCATATGATACACTGTCAATAATAATAATCATTGTTAATGGTAAAAAATATATATGTGTGTGTGTGAATGTGTGTAATTTGGCTCCATAGACTTGCATCGAGAGGAGAAGGAGATGTGAATGGGGGGAAACATCAGAATGATGACTCCTACAGTTGTTGGAGCAATTAAGATATTAGGAGGAATATTTCATTGTTATAATGTAAAGGGGGTGGAGAATTGAAGAGCTCTGCTTACTGTCATGATGGATTATATGCATGCAGCAGAAAAGGAAAGAAGTACTGCTGACAGGAAGACCTAGGGTCTTCCTTAGCCAGAGGTCTCTATAGACACGTCATCAACAGTAATGGCAACAGCAGTGTATCATCGTGACAATGTGCTTAATCAGGGCTCAGGTGTTGAAGATGCGGATTTGGGAGGGCCTCTTGTTGGGGTGCTTAAGCCATCCTGGTTTCAGTCAGGTCAGGTCCACTCATCTAATACTGGCCTGAGGCCCAAGACCAAGATACAAGGACTGAGGCTGATAAGTGATTTGAAGCAGTGCCTGATATTCATGCAAGAAGCTAGAAATGTCAGTTGCTGCTTGAGGTAAACATTTGTTTTCCAGGGTAAATGTTACAGCTTCTGCTTCTCATAACAGTGTCATTCAAGCGTGTGTCTAAAGGACAGCAAGACATCATGGAAATAGCTTTCATTCCTAATCCATAGTTGTGTTAAACTATAGAACCATTTAATCCTCCAGCTCATTGTGATCATCAAAACAGAAGCTGCAAAATATTTCCTTCATTATAAAAATAAAACCAAGTGCTGCTCTCTGCTTCAGATTCCTTTTGAATACTAATGCATAAAAACCAAGATTAAATTAATCTCAGCTGTCTCAGTCACACTTGGCTAATGAATCATAAAATAGTTTCATCTTCGTATGACAAGTTGCCCTTGATGGCAAATTAAAATCTTAATAAGGGTTTTTAAAATACACGTGCATATATACATGCACAGTCTCTTTCATTAGAGCTCAATGTCAAAATACAAATTCTTTTGCTTTGCATTTCAGATATTGTAAACTTTAGAGAACATCTTCTGGATCTTTTTATCTGGCGGCTTCAAATTCTCTGTATACAAATGCCTTTAACTTAACCTTCGAAATAATTGTTTTGGAAATCTTGCTAGAGTTACTGGATAGTGGTTTGTTTCTAAAAATTATATATATGTCATTTATTAACTGCTTACTTAAATAATGCAAAAATGAATGGTATAATTTTCTACCTCCCGTGCTTCCCCAATGACGGTGGCTTCTTTGGGGCCGTGATGTAACAGAGATGTCGGAGACCAGTTACAGAGGCAGATGGCTGCAGTGCTAGGGAGGAGAACATTTTGGAAAAGGAGATGAAACAAATAACAAAAGCAGTAACAGCAAATTAAACTTTAGCTTGAATTTTATATAGCATATACTGGTAAAAATATTGTTTCAAATAACAGTGGCTGTGTGGAACAGTGCTTCTCAGACTTTCATATGCATGCACACTGCCTGGAAATCTTACTAAGTATAGATTCTTACTCAGGAGATCTCGAGTGGAGACAAGAGTGCATTTCTAACCAGCTACCTGTGATGCTGATGTGGCTGATCCGCGGGAAACACTTTGACAAGCAAGGCACAGCATAACGTACATGTAAATAGAATAGTTTGCTTTGTTTGAAGATATAAATCCAATTTTAGAAAAAGATGTATCTAGGCAGATAGTTATAGTTTTTCTAAATACGGTGAATTCGCCGGCTAACTTCAAATACCTTTTTCTGCCTACCTGTGAATTCGCTTTCTTGGAATTCTCAACATTGGCTTAATCTCGTATGAGATTTGATTCAGAAGGGATTCCTAATGCGAGTATTAGTTTAGATGTTTTTTATAAAGAAAAATGGAAAAATGGCAAAATATAAATTAAGAAGACAAGCATAATTTTAAAATTATTATTACTTTTGTATTTGATTTGTTGGCTGGAAAAGGGTATGGCATTTTATATTTCTGAAAGAGGATTTAAAACAAGATTTAGAATATTACATCTAATTCTAACAATTTACTAATCATCAATAATTCTTACTTTAAGCACCAAATCTGATGCTCACTGGAACAAGTATGTATTCAATTGTAATAATGTTTATGCCAGGTTAAAACTCCAATCCAAATGCCAAGACATTTAGAAAACTAAATTCTTAGATGTTATCTCAGGACTTTTTTTTTTCTCTTTTTCCAAAGAGAGAATAATGTTATTGATGCACTGACCTTTCTCCCAGATTCTAAACTCAAATGATTGTTTAAAAAGCAAAACTCTTACAGTCAAACTGCATACTTACTGTTTGAATGCTTCATAGCAAATCTCCTTAATAGATTTATTAGAATAAAATGTTTGTTGCACATCCATTCTATTATCCTTTTTTGTAGAATGCAGAGCCTAGGTACACTGAGACATCCAAGACTGCTGCCGGTTCAAGAAAAACCGAATATAAGGAACAGGAATCAGTTAGGGGCTTCTTTTACAGATGAGTCAAACCATAAAACCATATGGGAAGGACCCAAGGAAGATTTACCCATTGTTAAATTTAAATTCATCTGAGTTATTGGAATTTAATTTTAGAACCATATACTTGGATTATGATATTTTTGCCTAATGTGACAATACTAAGTGATAGGACTCAAACAAAAGATTCCTAACAACATTCATATGCTACTCTATCATTCAAAAACGATGAATTAGTTACTTTTAATGTTACACACATTTGCAATTTGTTTTTATTGCAAAATATTTTCATATATCAAGTGTCAAATGACTAACACCTAAAACAAAATAAATTTTTACACATTTAAAAATTATAGGCATTAGATATTTTAAAATAAACTTTTTATTTTAGAGTGGCTTCAGGTTTATAGAAAAATTATAACAATTAGAGGGTTTCCATATATCCCCCACTGGTTCCTCTTTCTATCATTAGCATCCGATCTTAGCATGGTGCATGTGTCACAATTAATAAAACAATATCAACATATTATTCCCTAAAGCCCCTAATTTATTTAGATTTCCTTGTTTTTTACCTATTTATGTGTTTATTTTTTCTGTTCCAGGATCCCAACCCATCCAGGACACCATGTTAGTTACAGTTATCATGTCTTTTTAGGCTTCTGGCTGTGACAGCTTCTCAGACTTTGTTTCTAATGACCTTGATGGTTTCAAGGAGTACTGGTTAGACGTTTTGCAAAATGTGCCTAAACTTGAATTTGTCTGCTGTTTTCTTTTTTCTCATTATTAGACTGAGGTTGTGGTTGTTGGGAGTAGGATTATAGAGGTAAAATGCCATTTCCATCACATCAGTACCGGCTGTTTGCTGTTGGTGCTAACATATCACTGTTGATGTTAGCCTTGAACACCTGGTAAGATAGGATTTTTCAGGGGTTTCCATGACAAAGTGTCCCTCTTTGTCCACTTTTCCACTCTGTATTCTTAGAAAGGGAAGTCACGGCCAGGTGCAGTGGCTCACGCCTGTAACCCCAGCACTTTGGGAGGCCGAGGTGGGCAGATCATGAGGTCAGGAGATGGAGACCATCCTGGCCAACACGGTGAAACCCCATCTCTACTAAAAATACAAAAAATTAGCCGGGCATGCTGGCGGGTGCCTATAGTCCCAGCTACAGCTTGGGTGACAGAGCAAGACTCCGTCTCAAAAAAAAAAAAAAAAAGAAAGGGAAGTAGGGAAGTCACTACGTAGCCATTGCCACACTTAAGAAGTAGGGAGTCCTGTTCCAACTTTCTGATGGCAGAATATCTACAATAATTATTAGGAATTATTTTGCATGAGAGAGATGTCTATTATGCTTGTTAATTGTTAATATTTATTTGTTAATTCAT